CTTTATTTAAGAATATATTATTAATTTAAGAATATAGTCTTTTTCGATAGTGAGATATATATGTTTTTCTATAGAGGCCTTTTATATTCTAATCAGTATATATTCTTATCAATATTACTATTTAGAGGATTTTCCTCTTAAAATAAGAAACTCTTTTTGGCGCTTATTTTAGTATAAAATATACTTAAAGTAAGTGGGATATCCTCAAAACAAGAATAAAATTTTTTCGGTGTAGACAAGAATTGTGATTTTATGAGTTATATAAACTTATAGAATTGTATTTGTACATACCGTACATACAGAAAGTTGTGATCCAGTAGGCGCGAAAAAAACGACGAAATTTACAAATATCAAAGACCCGCAATTTGATTGTCAAGTGTCAACGGTAAGAGCTCATTTATCCGAACACGTTCCCAGTTTTCCGGCGATTCGAGAACGAGTTGCACACGCTCGGCGTTACGTAAAATACATCCGTGCCAGGTCTGCCAATCATTCGGTTGATAGCTTGCGCAGCATTTTTTTTCTCAACTTTCATGTCGCGCGCATTTCCTGCAACCTCGTTATCGGCAGGGTATCGCGTTCCCCGAGATTCGCGATTTATAAAAAACGTCACGGTGTTGAATTCACAGTGTTCGCGGAAAGTTTCGATTTGAAATTGTTGAATAACATTCTAAAGAAAATTGCAAATGTGTTTCATTTTCTAATCAAGCAAAGTGTTTTTTTTTTTTTTATTCGAAGAAAATATTATTACTTTATATTTGTCAAAAATAAAAAGTTAGATTTTATAGCAAACTGCGAACTTTGCATCGTCGCAAAGGTGCAAAGAGGCGAAAAATCAAATTGCAAGCGTTGTCGGTTTATAAATGTTGCGCTCGCAAATGGATTTGCAATTTAATATAACAGTTTCGCGTTAGAATTTACCGAAATTTATTTCGATTTATCTTCGAGAAATCTGTCGAGAAAATCTGTTCGACTGTGCGCTACATGAAGATTTTTTTGAGAGAAATTCCCGAAGACTTTACGGTGGGTGTGTCGTAGAAAAAGAAATGGATTCTCGCCTCGTAAGAGGGATTCGAATCTTGTTGCCAATCGCAGCGGGAGAATTCGAAACGAGTATCGGTCCCAGGACGAGTGGCTAGACACGCTCTTCGTGATATCGTTCCGGCTCTCATCTGTGCGAGCTACAATATCCGCTTTTAGAGGGTGTTCCGTTGACGAAAGATAACATCCGCAAATAAAATAAAACTTTGATAGGAAACAAATGGGCAGATGGTAATAAATCGAACGGAAATAAATTTAAGCCGAGCGAAATTTTTTATCGCGTGCTAAAATCTAATAGGTTCGAACTCGCGAATGTGTCATTTGATATTTTTTGTTCTTAACATTTTCCTTTTATGTGTTTAGTATAATGTGCGAGAGATATGATTAAAAATTAATTTGTAACTGCGCGTATATATTTAAACAATTATGTTAAATTCCAATTATATAACAGATTTGAATGTGTTCTCGTTATATATATATATATTGAGCGGAATAAAAATATTTGTATATTATCTAGTATGATCGTTCGGCGGGGCGTGACGTATGAAGATCGAATTACGATCTTGGGATCGAGCCATGATCGATTTATCGAGCGGGCGCGATAACCACCTCTTCCGGTTTATTAGCTTCCTATCTGGTCGCAACAAGGACGACGGGACGGCATCCTTCCTGGATGCAGAAAGGGATGGGGAGGGAGGGGGCGAGCTTTCGGGACGAGAGATGGGCCATTGATATTCGGCGCGCACAACCACCATCGAAACGCTTTTTCCAGACGCAGGAAACGGGAGAATGCGATTCAACGGGCGCGATTATGGTCGATTGATTCGCAACGCTGCTCCGGCCTCCAACGTTTTCGGCTCGATTCGAGTACGAACAGAATGCGCGCCGAATGGAGCCGTACGGTAAACGAGCTCTCTAGAATCGATGACTTTTATTTTGTTCAAAAAATCAAATTTTTCACCGGTTAAAAAATGCTAGTTAAACTAGCGATAAATATTTTAATCTTTTAAAATCACCGGTGAAATATACGGTAATTATTTACAATAGGGGAGCCACCTCCGATTTCAATAATTTTTACATATGTTGTCAAGGTCATTGTCCCGAGTAATAATATGAAGGTTTTAGGCCGCGGTCGTTGTTTGTTTAGAAGTTACAGAGGAAAACAGTCTACTGAACAATATGTAATTTTTGGACATCCTATATATGAATAGGTGTTCTGCGTGTGTTTGGGCACGTGTTTGTTTATACGCTTTTGTAGTTGTATCTTGAAAAGTCGTTTCATGGAAAATGCCTCTATGTTCGTGAAGAATATCTTTTTGATCATTATTTGGCCGAATTTGCATTTAAGAAAACGTTCGATTTTGATGAACGATTGGACGCTTTTTTTGAAATAATGTCTGTAACAGACATTATTTTTGATCTCACGTACATTTCGTTCGTGTTTCAAGCGTGTAGGCAGGGGGGGGCTACGCCCCCCGCAGGGGGAGTGGCTTTGCTCCTCCCTTTGCTCCCCCTTGAAAATCAAGTCGTTATTTTGTGGAAAATAACGACTTGATTGGATAAAAAAGGATGTCCTAACCATTGTGGAAATTTTGCGAGAAGGAATGCAGAAAGAAGAGTTTAGGTTAGGTTAGGTTAGGGTTAGGTTAGGTTTTAAGGGGGGCGCAGGGGGGGCGCAGCCCTCCCTGCCTACACGCTTGAAACACGAACGAAATGTACGTGGAACCGAAAAATAAGAATTTATTCATGAAACTTCTTCTTCTCATAACTTCTAAACAAACAACAACCGCGGCCTAAAACCTTCATATTATTACTCGGGACAATGTCCTTGACAACATATGTAAAAATTATTGAAATCGGAGGTGGCTCCCCTATTGTAAATAATTACCAAATATACTTCGCTTCTTATGAACGCGCGCGAACTTTGTATTTCTAAACTTTGTGTTTGTATTTGGCGCGATATTACGTACTATGTTGGAACTATTCTGCGGGAATGAAAATGCAATTAGAACGAGTCTGGCGAGCGTCGAAAATCACGATTAAACAAACCTACGCGTTGAAAGACCTTCAATCAGAGACCTTACCGATCTTCCTCGTCACATCGTTCCGAGAGGCGCGCCCGAGCTCGCAAACGGCACACAATGCCATTCAATCCCGGTCACGAATTCTGTCTCGTCAAAGGCAGATTCCGCGATTAACAGCTGGCGAATGAAAATTAGCAGCCTTTGCTCGAATTAACGACGACAGGCGAGACTTGATTAATTCCGACGCTATTTCCTAGCTCAATGAATGGGGCGGCGGATTAAGAGCTGTGCAAGCTCCGGAGAGAGGACACAACCTCTCCGGCGCAGCAGTTATGGGCGCGGGATTTGAAGGGGTCGAAGGCCGAAGAGGAGGAAACAGAGGAGGTTAGAGAAAGGGGGATACACGAAGGGGGAAGGGGAATATAGGGGTGGATATATCCGTAGAGTTATGGCTGGTATGAAACCCATAGCAAATGATGCAGGAATACGTGACTGGCAAGCGAAGCGTCGCGCTACGTCGGGTCCGGCGTTCCGATGCCCGCCTGGCCGGCTCGATGTAGCTGCAATCAGCAACGTGCACCCCGTCCACAGGCACCGAAATAAATTCAATAGAAACACATTGCGCGTTGGCATACGGCGGCCAGGTCGCGGTAGTGAGTGTACGTGCGCGCATGAAAAGTTGGACGGTAGCTTGATCTTTGGATATTGTTCCGTTCTCGTGGTTAACCCTTTCAGCGTGAAATCACTTTTGTCCCAAACAAACTTGAACATTTCGAAACAAACTAACTTGGACATTTCGAAATATATCGGCTTGAACGATATAAATCTATTTTTTTATTATATCTGTGTGTGTGTGTGTGTAAAATTACAAATGATCTCTCGAACGATCGATAAGATTAACAATATGAATTAATTTCTCTATTAAATTACAATTAATCAAAACAAAACGATAAACGCGCCCCACATTGATGAATACTGATGTACTTAATCAAGGGGATTTAGCGGAAATGTTATTAGTTCGAGACCGACAAGGGGTAAATACAGCTGGCTACAGGGTTATACGTATAGTATATCCGCGTGAAGCCTTATGGCAGACATATTGGATCATCGCGGATACGATACATCAGAATTCCACCCCCGTTTCGCCGCTGTCGCCACGTGACGGCGCGTTCTCCATTAAATTTCGCGTAATAGGACCGACAAGATCTCGGGCTAAGCGAAGGAGCTCCCGTGCAATTCGAAAAGTCGATACTCGATTTCCGCTACATGACTTTCGTTTTAGAATCTTTTTTGAGAGAAGAAAGTTAGATTTTCTAGGCCGACTCTCTCTCTCTCTCTCTCTCTCTCTCTCTCTCTCTCTCTCTCTCTCTCTCTCTCTCTCTCTCACTCTCTCTCTCTCGCTCGCAAATCTCCAAAGGCGCGAACACTCAAACTCGTAATGTAAAGTAACGCGAGTTACTTTTTCTTTTTTTTCCCGCAACGCCGCAAACTCGTGTATTTTTCGCGATAAAATTGTGTTAGCGCGAATTTGCGCGCTTCGTGTTTTCTTTCTAACACGTACAATTTGAGAACAAAAATTACATTTACAGTATCTCTTTTTTAGTACTAAATTTAATAATAAATTATAATTCTAAATGATAAATATGATTCCAAATGCATTCTAATAAAATGCAAAAATGCAAATAAAACCGAATAAATGATCGCGCCATTTGTGGATTGTCAAATATTTGTGGATTGACACAGAAGTTTGTCGTCTTTTTCCTGATCCAATTTGCGGCACAACGATATTAACAACATGTCTTCTTGATACAGTGAAATACTTGCGGGAAGTGACGCCGTACTTCAGGAAGGCTTCGATCATTCAGGAAGTGGGCTGGGAACTTCAGCGCGGTTTCCTCAGCGCGACGCCACCGCCGCCAAAGTCACCACCCCGAGCGGATACTCGTTATCTGCCATTACAACTCTGCAGACTCACCAGGGCGCATCCCTCTTCCGATCCCGGTAAGTCTTAACACCGAAAAGTTGATGCGTGGTCTTGCGAGCACGGCTCGTTCGCCGTGACAGCAAAGATTAACTCGCCAGTTGTGCGGTCGGATCTACAAGACCTGGGACTATTCTGCTATCTGTTATACTGTCAACTAGAAGAAAATTCGGACGATGCGTATTGTTGTGATTTAAGAAAAATTCTCTTCGCAACGCTCTCAAATCTCGGATGTTCGGAAGAAAAGATTCGCGTATAAAAGTGATCAAAAATTAAATTTTTATAATTGTCCTATAGCAAAATGTTTCTTAAACGAATAAATGAATATATAAATAGTCGTGAAGAGCCGTTCGCTGGATGTTATGCGGAAAATATGTCTATATATATATGTGCGTGTACACACATATAAACAAATTCACGTTTTCGCGTGTTTTTGAATTGAAATTTCAATTCATAAAATCATACAAAATACTATACTTGCATCTCATGTATGAAGATTCCAGGTTCGACTCCTGACTGAGGAGTTTTTTTCGCAATATTTTAAAAATTAGTTCGGGGGGTATACGGGGTCCTTCATACATGAGATGCAAGTATAGCATCCTGTATGATTTTACGAATTGAAATTTCAATTCAAAAACACGTGAAAACGTGAATTCGTTTATATGTGTGTACACGCACATATATATATAGACCACTGAACTATAGACTATACTGGAACGCTCACTCAATGTTAAGCAGCCGGTCACTCGAAAGATAGAGATAGNTATATTTGTCCCCATATCTATCCTTGTCTGAGCATTTCTGATTGGAGCTTCAAATATTTTTAGTTTGAAGTAAGGTAGGGTAGTATAAGATTAAAAAAAGACAAGCTAGTGACAATTCTCTATCTCTATTGTCCCGTTTCTTCCCATTTGAGTGAGCGTTCCAGTATAGTATATAGTTCAGTGATATAGACATATTTTCCGCATCCAGCGAACGGCTCTTCACGACTATTTATGTATTTATTTATTCGTTTAAAAGACGTCAGAGCCCGAGATTAATTCTCAGTCAATCGTTAAAATGTTTCTTCTTTAAAATATATATCGGCTTGAAAATTCACAGATTGTATATATCTCACATTGTGTATATAATGAGAAAACCTGCGTACTGAGAATTTTGTACGCGTTAGTTAAATGACACACAACAATTTCAGGAATGCTTCGGCAGATAATATTTCTAGTCAATGAATGTTTTTTTTAACTGAGAAATCGAGTTATAGGAACTCGTTAACTAAGCAATTATAAATTACTTAGTCGGAATTCCCGTCTGAAAAGGAGTATTAAAGCGATTTAAGCTGAGCTGCCGATTATCTCAAATTTAATCTAGAAAGTCGAGGACATTCAGAAGAGAAAACAAACGGGGAGAGGAGATGGAAAACGCGCGAGCGGATCGCGCGCTCTATCGTCTTGATTAACGAAGTAGTAGGTAATCTAGATCGTGGCCGAAGAGTTCGGGGAAATCGGATGGGATCTCGTTTACCTATTTGCCAAGCGGCAGTGACGTCGGTAAATGGCCTCGCGGCACGATAAAAGTCCAGTTTCCCCCGTCGTAGACAGTCGTCTGCCTGTGTCTATGTAGAGTGATAAACCGGGGGACGGAGTTAGCACGAGAGAGAGTATCTCTTCCCTCCCCCACGGGGGCTCGCAGTGAGTTAATGAAAGGCGAATGGCTCCTTAATTCTGTAAAGCTTCTCCGTTCTTCTCTTCTCCGTTTGCTCTGAGCGCGCCGTCTCCGTTCAGGGCCGCCGCTCGTGCAAATTTTCACCTCTCGGGGGTTGTTAGCGGTGTCCCATATGTGGCACGCAGTGGTTGCGTTGCTTGAGCAGTTTAGTTAAGTGTCTCAATTCATTCAGTCGTATTGTTGCTCACACATCGCCGCAATATTTCACATACATCTCTCTCGGACGTTAAAGTTTTTACAGTTATATACACATATTTTTTTAAAACAAAAATACATAATAAAAATTTTCCGTACACAACAGTTTTTTTATAGTATTTGAGACAAGTTTTTTTTATAACATCTTCAATATGAAACAGAAATAGTCAACGAAATAGAAGAAAAGCGTTATACGCTTTTTTTTATTGGATAATAACACCGAAAAAATTATATTCTTGTAAGTAGAAGATTTTATACTTAAAAAATCTTCTTAAAGATTTTAGATGATATTCTTCTGAAATTAAGAATATATTCTTTAATTAAGAATATATTCTTAATTTAAGAATATAGTCTTTTTCGCGATAGTGAGATATATATATGTTTTTCTATAAAGGCTTTTTATATTCTAATTAGTATATATTCTTACACCGAAAAAATTATATTCTCGTAAGTAAAAGATTTTATACTTCAAAAATCTTCTTAAAGATTTTAGATGATATTCTTCTGAAATTATAAGAATATTCTTTATTTATATATATGTTTTTCTATAAAGGCTTTTTATATTCTAAT